TGATTTTGAGTTTATAAAGGTTAAGTTCTTGAAACTCAGAAAATGAATGGTCTAGATTCATTTTTGAAGGGGACTCATTTTGACCATATCTAGGATTCAAATTGAACTTTTTTTTTTTGGAATGATTTATTATTGAGATGAATAGAGTACGTGTGCAAAATCTGAGGTCATACGAATACCACAAACATGGTTTTCTAGAAGTGTCGCTGCATTATACTATGATACAACCATTGCATTGGATCATTGCTCGTACTTCTTTCATACCAAACTTAGCATCCACATCTTATTAGCGTTGTTGGAGAAGACCACGAGAAAAGGTAAATTCTCTTTTTTTTTTTTCTTTTTTTTTTCCCACTACATGTTTAAATTGTCTTATAGCCGATTCCAAATAGTTGAGAAAAAACTTTAATAATGACGATGAGTATAAGTTGTCCATCTTATCAGTTGCTCGATGGAGTTCTTTGAGCAAGCTAAAATAATTTTCTTTTTGGGTCACCTTGCAGTGTATAGATTTTTGAGTTAAAGGGTTTTCCAGAGGGTGTGGTTTCTATAAGGTTGTAGCTTTAAACAATCCAATTAAGGCACACCTCCAAATTTTATCATAATATGTAATTTTATTTTAATTTTTTAAAAGATTATTTGAAATTCTATTTTCATATCTAATTATAAAATTTTAAACTCAAAAAATAGTTAAAATCAAGTAGATTTGCAAACATATGAAAATCTTGAAAATGGATGATCTAGATAATGTGTTGCAAGATGCACTGTTTCTAGGATTAAAAATGTTTTTCTTTTGTTATATTCATAGATCTCGATGTCTAAATGATCAATTAAATGTTTTTTCAATATTAAAACAACATTTTCTAATGGATTTTTGAGGTGCACTTGTAATCCTACATTTAAAGGTTGCAACCTTATACAAACTTTCTTTTTCCAAAATCCTCCATGTAGCATTAACTTTGCTTTTTAACATATTCATTGTATTTTCTCTCTCCTCAACAAAAATCGTTTTTATATAGTTTGTTGAATTACTTTTCACTATCTTATTCAAAATCAAACGGACATAAATGCCAAATTCAAGGCAACAAAATTGCCAATAATTCTTGTTCGGAAAGCACTTTTAGCAATGTAAATCTTCATGATGGCTCTAAAATCAATTTCTAACACCAACAATGAAATTTTAAAATTAATTTCTAACACCAACAATGAAATTTAAAACTAACAAAATGGTGAAAGGAACTGTCTAGATAATTTGTTGCAATATACACTATTTTTAGAGCTTAAAAACATTTTTTCTTTTTTTTTCAAAACCTAAATAGTCAAACCAGGATAATCCATAGAAATATTTTCCAATGCTTGAACTGCAATTTTGTATGTTGTAAGGTGATGCTTTACTTATTTTGATAATGTTGCAGCCCTATCAAATTATTTTCCTATACCAAAATGGGGATGGTAGATGTATCGTGGATCAATGTTTTTTCATTGGATATTTCATAGGGAAAATTACGAAAAACACCTTAAAATGAACTATCTATGCAACTTACCCCTACCCCAATCTTTTCTCACACTGTTTTCCCCCAAACAACATTTCCTCGCAAACTCCGCCCCCCCCCCCCCCCCCCCCCAACGGTAAAAAGTTCTTATTTTTTGGATGAAAATGCCCTTCTTGTACAAACCAAATCAATTTGCGGATGTCAAGTAGAGTAGTGCCGGAGCGTAGTATACTACTACCGGAGTGGAATGTCAACAAGCACTGCCGAAGCGCGGTGCTACATTGCCGGAGCACTGTGGTTCCAAAGACTTCATTGCTAGAGCGAACTACAGGAGCACGTATTTTCACTGCCGGAGCGCGTTCGCAGAATGTCGAAGCGCTGTGGGTCAGACAAATGACTACCGGAGCTCACATTGGGACTGCCGGAGCACGCATTCAGACTGCCGGAGCGCTATGGGTCAGACAAAGCACTGCCGGAGTGCACATTGTAATTGCCGGAGCGTGCATTCGGACTGTCGGAACGCAGTCCTCCATTGTCGGAGTGCTGTGGCTCTAGAGGCTTCATTGCCGGAGCGCGTTATCAAAATACCGGAGCGCTGTGGATCAGACAAAGTACTGCCGGAGTGCACATTGGGGTTGCCGGAGTGCGTATTTATTGTAGGAAACAGGAGAGAGAAGGCCGTGTGAAAAGAAACAGGGTACTTTAGTTTTATTTCATGTTACTTTTGGATTGAGGGGTTTTTGCGAAGAAATGTAGTTTGAGGAAAAAAAGTGTTAGAAAAATTTGGGGTGAGGGTAAGTTGCATAGATAGTTCATTTTAGGGTGTTTTCTGTAATTTTCGCTTTTTCATATTTAAATAGTTAACCATACATCTCAGTTGTATGGTAAATGTACATCGTAGTCGTATTCACCATCCGTTTCCATAGTGGGACATGGAATTTAACTATGGGATGTCATTTACAGGTGTACTCCGAGCCTATTAAAATATACAGTTGTAGAAGCCCTTGTCATGCACTATGGGTTTTTAAACTGCACTTATTTCCATCGTGTAAAGTTAACCGGAAAAGCATACCGTTACTGTTACCGCAAGGAGGCCGTAATCACTCTTATCCTTTGAACTTCTAAATAGGTGGTTGTGAGTTTCTTATTTACATACTCAATTAAAAAAGGACCCGGTTTCTATGCGGCAAGCTGGCATAGGTAGAAATGCATGCCTATTAATAAATCTATTTTTGAAATGAATTTTTAGACTTAACTTTTAAGGACATGTAATCTCTAACATGGAGATCATGAGTATGAAAAAATAAGCAAATTTTAAGAACTAGAAATAATAATTTTAGTAAAAAAACATCTGGACTGTTAGTTTCCATTGTTTTTAGATAAAACACCTACTTGCATCCATCTTTAAGATGGATGCTTTACACTTTGTGGACCACATATATAGTCATGAGGTCCAGCCCGCATGAAACAATTTTTCATTCAAAATTTTTTTTAGATCTTTATGACATGCCCCAAGCCATCCATCCAATTTATAGGAAAGATAAGTGATTTCATAATGGGAAAAATTTATATAGAGCTCAGGCTTGAAACAATCAAATTAGAGCTATCTCAAAAACTTCACTAGATGAGGTTGTTTTGATACCCAAATAACCTTAAATTGATCATGATCGTTATCAAGATGCATGAACATGAGAAAAAAATGAATTTCGGGTTTAGAAATAGTATATTTTGTAATGCATTTCTGGACCGTCAATTTTCAAGATTTTCATAGATCTGTTTGTCTATACTATTTTTAAAGCTTTAAAATTTATAAATAAGATGAAAATATATTTTAAGGCTATTACAAAGATTTCCAGTATTGAAATCACATTTTTCGTTACTATTCGAAAATAGGCGCTAATTTGATTGTTTAGGGCCTCGGCTCTATACAAACCACACCCTTTCATAATATACAAGTCCAAAATAACCGTCTCAACTATTTCCTCTCCATCATGTACGCCTACTGTATAATTAATCTCCACCGTCTTTCACAAAGAACAGAGGGTGGATGTCCCATATCGTCCTCTTCAACAAACCAACAAACATCTGGACTAATTGTTTCATTTTAAACAGTGGCAAAAGTTTATATAAGGATGCAACCTTATAATGTAGAACTACATATGCCCCACAAAAATCCATTGAAAAAGGTAGTTTTAATGTTGAAAAACCTTTGATTGATCATCTCGATATAGAGATGTATGACTATGAAAAATAAACAGATTTTAAGTCTCGAAAATAGTCATCCCAACATCGTGACGTATGATTATGAAAAATAAAAAGATTTTAAATCTAAAAAATAATGTAATTTACAACATATTATCTACACCGTCCATTTTCAAGATTTTTAAATATTTATAGATCTACATGATTATAACTATTTTTAAAA